ACAGGTATTTTTATCTCATGGTTTGCTTCGAGGTCCTTAATGTATGTCTTGAAAGAATTCATTTCCTTTTAGGACCCGAAAACTCTGGCCGATTTCTGGTTGTCGTCTGGAGCTTTTAGTCGATTACCTGAAGTCATCCGCATTATGCCAAACGGTAATTCAGCTTAGATTTTTTAACCAACAATAAGTTTTTGGCTTGATGTCGTGGAGCTATAGTGCTGAATTATTAAGCACTTTGAGAGCGTCAATATTTTTTGGGTATAGCCAGAAGTCCAGCTGGTATGCGTATTAAATAGCTGAACAATTATCAGTATGAGGTTTTTTCCTTAGAAACTGTGCTTCGGACCCTGAAGGCCAATCTTCCTCTGCGAACGGATTTATATAACTCGGTTGCTAACTCCGCCGTTTTGAAAGCCGTTAAGAATAAGGATGTCGATTGTAAGCGCCTTTCTCCTGCCCCTTGCTTTGAACAGGGTTTTCGGTAGGTTCATTTAAAAAGGCAAGAAGCAAAGACTGTACCACGTCTCTTTATTCCTTGTATTATTATTAGAATGGGGCTCAGTTCATCTCGACTTCCCGTCTACTTTTTGGTCCCTCGGTTTTATTGGGTCTCTATTTTTGTGGCGGTAGTGGTCGAAATTTGCGACGGAAGCTTTCGATGAGTTAGAGTTTATCTCAAGCGTTTTTCGGTTATTTATTAATTTGGACCTATTTCTTGCCTTGTAGCGGTGGTGGAAATCGGAAAGGTCCTTGGTCATCAGCGTTTTCATATTCTTTATCTCATTGTCATTCCTCGTCTTCTTTCGCTAGGACTTGGTCCAGGAGAAGTTCTGGCCAAGTTCGAGGTAGTCTCTTTTGCCTACTTTAAGCTTTTATTGTTCGGGATTCTTCTCATTTAGCGTTTTCTCTAAGGATCCCTCGTTGAAATCGTGTGCGGCTTTGGGTATCGTTCTCAACGAACTTTGCGCTCTACCAAGCTTTCTGAATCCTCCCGTGCCCGGTAGCAGCCTTGAATGCGCGAAACAATTCATTGCCCAATTCCAGAACGAGGGTCTCCTTCCCTTCACCTATTACCTTTCCGTCAACAATAGCTTTATTCACCTTCTGGTACTAAGTAGCTCTCTGTTTTTGTTCTGATATTGATGATGACTCACTGGTCATGCCTTTTGCTTTCAGCTACGAGGATGCGTCAAACACGTTATCCAAAGTAGAAACGACGGTATCATAGATCAGACGATGTTGGATGTATGGACGGGTGCTCTCTTAAACTGTTTTGCTCCTGATCGTCACCCTTTACTCGCCAGTGCTCTACTTCGCTTTTGCGGTCAGGGCATAGTAGGGGCGGCAGATTCCACCGCCTCTCGTTTCGCTAGTCTTGATGATCAGGCG